TAGTTCGCGGAAATAGTAAACAGAATTATTATTATAAACCCCTTATTTTTATTATACATATATTATAAAGCGTGAATGAGATTTATAGTACATCAGAACTTATACTTATTAGGTACATAAAAACATATGACAAACTGACTGATATATGAGTGTCATAAGTTGAGGGAAACATGGTGTTACTTACAATATATCGAGCCCTAACCGCCAAAATAACGTGAGCGAATGTTTACAATTATTAAAAAACATTGACAACAACATTGTGTGTTTTTTCCAGATTTAATTCAATCGATTTGCTACATTTATTCGAAAAGAATACTTTAGAAAATGCCTCCACTACGCAGACGTAATACGGTTGGCAGGCATACGCGTGATTCACATCGAATGTCAATAAGGAGAAGAAATCAAAGCGAAGAGCAACGCGCTCAAGTGAATGCCCGAGGTAGAGCGGTGTACAGAGAGCGGCGTGCACAGTTTAGAGCTGAATCCGCAGACAATCAACGGCCAAATTATCGCCAAGCCAGAGTTCCGCTTCGTCTTCGCGATCAAATGGAACATGTTGGCTTTCACTACGATCCTGACTGCGACTACAGCCTGCATGGTTCCATTGGAGCAATGGATATTATTTGTACGCATTGCAATGCAGCGAAGTTTCGAGGAGAAACAGCTGGCATGAGCGGTTGACAATAACGCCGGTGGATTCTACTTTCTGGATGCGCCCGGTGGTACAGGGAAAAAGTTTCTTTGATTCTTGCTAATATACGGTCACAGCAGAAAAGTGTGTTGGCAATTGCTTCGTCAGGCATCGCTCCTACTCTACTTGATGGCGGCCGAACAGCACATTCTGTTTTGAAATTACCGTTGAACATCCAAGAAACTTGAAACACCAACGTGCAACATATCGAGGAATTCAGCAATGGCAAAAGTTTTGCGAGGAGCTGCAATAGTTCTATGGGATGAGTGCCCAATGGCTAACAAAAAGTCATTAGAAGCATTCAATAGAACAATGCAAGATTTACGCCAAAATCAACAACTTTTTGGCGGGGCATTAGTATTATTATCCGGCGATTTCAGGCAAACTTTGCCAGTCATTCCTCGATCAACTCCTGCAGACGAAATAAACGCATGTTTAAAATCGTCAGTTTTGTGGAGACATGTTCAAAGGCTGACTCTTACCATCAACATGCGAGTCCAATTGCAAAATGATCGATCCGCAGCGGCGTTTTCGAAGCAGTTGTTGGACATTGGCGAAGGCAAAATACCAATCGATGATACCGGTTTGATCACATTGCAGAACAACTTTTGTACACTTTTACAATCGAAAGAAGAATTGATTGAAAGTGTATTTCCGAATATTGTTCAACACTATCAACGCAATGATTTTCAAGTGAACGCGCAATATTGGCACCGAAAAATGTACACGTCAACGAAATCAATTTTGCCATTCAAGAAAAACTGCCAGGTGAAGCTACAACATATACATCGATTGATAGCGTTTTGAATCAAGATGTAGTAGTCAATTATCCAACTGAATTCTTGAATTCTTTGGATCCCTCCGGTCTGCCACCGCATCGTTTGGTCCTGAAAGTCGGTTCACCTATTATACTTCTACGAAATCTGAAGCCACCGACTTTGTGTAATGGCACAAGACTTTCAGTAAAAACATTGTTTCCAAATTTGATTGAAGCAACCATACTAAATGGCAAGGCAGCAAGTGAAGTTGTACTCTTACCACGCATTCCAATGATTCCAACGGACATGCCGTTTGAATTTAAGCGCTTGCAGTTCCCAGTACGTCTTGCCTTTGCGATGACCATCAACAAATCGCAAGGGCAAACGTTTCGAGTGTGCGGCGTCAATTTGGAGGAACCGTGCTTCTCCCACGGCCAATTGTATGTCGCATGTTCGAGAGTGGGAACACCAAGGTGCTTATTCATTTACGCGTCAGGTGGAAAAACCAAAAATGTTGTATACCAAAATGTTATATAAATAAGTAATAGTTTTACAACAAGAAATAAAACACAAAGTAAAAACACTTAAGAGTTTTAATCGATTTAGGTGTAGCGAAGCGCACCGGGTAAGAGCTAGTTATACATAAAATTAAAATGCACGATCAGAAACTTACTTAATTTTTACCCCGATTTTATTAGGTTGGAATATAACTATGTAATAATGGTGCACCTAAAAGATGCAGCGATTTCCATAATGAAGTTACATGACTAATGACTAGAGCTCGGAATCTCATGCAAATGCATGTTTTTATTGGGCATGTTCGAATCGTAATTATTAAATTATCTTTACGAATCATATTTCAGTATATTTTATAATAAATACATGGGTTTCTGCATTTTTTTGATATACAACCATTAGAATTTGGTGCGAAATGACTTGACAAAAAATTCCCCTTGACAAAAAAATTGCCATTGAGGCACTCTCTTTTACCTCTGTTAGATCTCAATTAGTAGAAGACTGTGGGAGAAAGAGCAAGCCTATATCCGTGACCAATACGAAATTACCCTAATGTGAGGCTGGCACACAGGGACATTTACGGAAACGTGGCAGCGGACAAACTAGTGTCCCACGCGGTGGACATGGGCGCTTCGCTCAAGGAGATAAAAGCAACAATTACCGAAATTTGTCACTCGAAGGCTAAGCAGAAGTGGAACCGTACAGGATCGTACAGGATTACCCGGCAGTTCTGGGTGTCCTACGACCCACTTAGACCAAAGCTCTCTTAGGAATGAGCAAAAAAGATACCTACTAACTTACTGCAGTGTGCACACGGCAATGGTACGTTGGTGTCGTAGTTGCGATAACTCTGTCTCAAAAGAGGTAGTCGAACACTTTCCTGGCTCTTGCAAGGATGAGGCTAAAGACACTCTGCAAGCCATTCCTGCAGAGTGTTTTAGAGTGAAGCTGCCTGTCTCTTTATGACGTACTGAAATTCATTAAAGCCGCCAAATGGCTGTAGGTTGCACGAGTTGTTGAATCAAAATGGCAAACTTCCTCAAACTGTCAATGTTTCTATTTACACAAGATTGTATCTGATTATAAACTAGATTTGTACATAAATGAGTAGTCCACTTGCAAAGTGCGCTATGTGAATTTTTTAGATTTCTAGTTTTTGGTGGGTAACGTACTAGTATTTATTCATGTCCACTAGCAACAAAGTGCAAAATCTTTCTCTATGAAAAAAATAGGACCAAATGTTAACTCTTCTTGCAAAAGTCGCTATCATACATATTTATAAACTTTCAAAAGGCTCCATCTTCTTTTTTTCTTTTTTTTTCAATTTTTAGTGCATGAGATTCCGAGCCCTACTAATGACAATACGAATGGGAATTTCTTTAACAGCCCTTTTTTCCACGCCAATGACAAAACTCAATGGCTGACTATTGTCTTTACTACTGCGCCTTAAACTATGCCGAAAATTAATTTTAAGTTCTGTGGTGATGACAACTGTCATTGTTGTTGTTATCACCTACTAAGTACGCGACAACGGCGCTTTGTGCGCGCGGTGTTTTAGGCGCAGTTATTGTGACAATATGTAGTCATACGATGGATTTGGTCAATGATGTGGGAATAGAGCTGTCAATTTCCATTTTAAAGTTACCTGATGACAGTACGAATGAAAATTTGATTGATTGATTCGCGTGTTATTCTATTATAATATGTAGTTTTAGAATCTATTGAATTTACGATTAAAAATATGAAAATAAAAATATGGTGTGAAAAACTAAAAACTTGCTTTTATTACAATGTGAACTATAAAGTAAAAAATAATTATAGAAATACAGATTTCGTTTAAGAGGAATTGTCCTGCTATTGACAATATTCAGTATTACTAAACTGTAAATGAAAAGTTCAAAAAAATGTATATCAAGCACCCCACATTTCGATTTCCAGTAACATTAATTTTATTGTCAATTACTTAAAAGTTTGGTTTTAAAAGTTTAATTAAATCAAGTTAGGAAACTTCATATTCCTCTTAAACGAAATCTGTATTTCTGTAAACTATAATTTTAAAATTCAGGAAAACTTAAAAAAAAATCCTACACTGAGAAAAAAACGCGTTGTAATAATAAACAATTTTATATAATTGCTTGCTGCCAAGAGGGCTCGGGTTCAATTACCATCAGACAGATCATAAAATAAAAATTGTTTTTGTTTTTTCTTAATTATATTTTCGTATAACGAAAAAGCATCTGTGCACTTCACAACGACATATTTTATAACGTACAAACTCAAATTTATAACGAGTTTTTTTTTAATTCTAAAATTTTTTTCCCTCGGCGCAAAAACAGGCATTTATTTTTTACAGTACAATGTAAGTATATGTATATCCAAAAAGTTACAGCAAGTTTTTACATATTGTTTAAGTTGTTATTTAATTTGGCTTATTTTTTTATATTTATAAAAATATAGTTCATTTTTTTACAAAACCCGAGTAAATCCAAGTTTCCAACTTGTTGCATCATTCAAAGACTTTTATAAATTTACGAGCTTTTTTAAAAATTCTAAACAATCAACCATAATTTTTGTCCATTTAAAGCTTGTACTTTATTCTACTAGAATTCAATGGGCTACAAAACTCAGAATTTTTCCAGGAAATCTAATTAAAAAATTTCGGAATTTAGTTCCATTTTTTTTTTTAATTTTGTACTTTTTAATTCAGTGTCACACGATTGGT